CCCCCACCCCACCCCGCCTATCCAGTCGTCTCGAGCCTTTCCAGGTGTGTCTTCGGGGAGCTGTCCGCAACTGCCATCAACAGACTCAGAGGGATCAGATGACTGGACTGGATCAAATGATTGGCTATATATGCAGCGCTCGAGGACGAGCGAGTAAACATTTCCACACCTTTTTTTTAACCTTTGTTTTTTTCTATCTTTCTTTTTTCATTTCTGTTCACCTATTTTGCCCTTTTCTCGTTTTGCGTCTTATTTCTGATTTCTTCTTTGTCTTTGTCTTCGGTTACTTCTCTGTTCTTCTCACCTGCTTCATGATAGAAAAGCTTGCTTCAGCATTTTTAAAGAATAAAAGAACATGCCAAAAACCATACGTTCTTAAAGAAAATATTTAGAAAGTGACTTAATCATGTTTAAAGAAGACCATTGCTAAAGGTAAGATAATAACTTGATACCATGAAAACATAACCAGACAAAGGGTACAGTGAAAGACAGCTGCTGATTACGGAGTTGACTTAAGAGCAAAATCCGAAAAAAAGGGAGATGCCAACTCAAAACAGCACTCGAAATCTGAGTGGGAAATGCACAATTTGAAATGAATGATAAAGTGAGTTAAAGGTTTCTTAAAGTAGGTAAATAATGATTTTGTCAGATTATTTCAATTCAAGGTTGAAAGAGTTTTCAAAGAACAATAACCCAAATTTTACCCAGAGAAATTAATTTTTTTTTAAAGTTTTTTTTTTTTATCAAGATACTAAATGGCACAGTTTATCTTTTCGTAATTAAAGATGTGCGAGAGATGCAAGAGTCAGAGTGTGCAACCAACGAGCTCAAAGGGCTGGAGCTGGTGGAAGGGATACAGGGCTGCTCTACAAATTACGTCTACGAGGTACAGATGGCAACCATCAGAGCGATGCAAAGCCAAGGGCCACCTAACATTGATCTGTGTGGGTGAGTAGTCCATTTACATACGTTTGATTCTCTCTTTTATTTGGTTCTAGTTTTAATAAGAGTTTTATGGCACTTGCTGCACGAATAGCTCATATAAGTGCCGAAGACTAGAGATGTAACAAGAGAAAAACACGCTCGTACGTATTGAAGACTAGAGGTGTTACAAGATACTAACAAACACTAAAAAGAGGGGAGATAATGACGGTATAATGTTTGATGGGAAAAACGGAACAAACCACACCAGAGAACCTACCCACCCACCCACCAACCAACCAACCAACCAACCAACCAACCAACCAACCAACCAACTAACCAACCAACCAACCAACCAACCAACCAACCAACCAACCACCCATCTGCTTTCTACAATTTCTAGTCTTCATTTAATTTGCAAAATTGATTTTTAAAACAATTTTAAAAATTGGAAAACCTCTTTTGTCCCCTATATTGAAAGAAAGAGCAACTCCCTCAATGGAGAAGACAGAGACGGTTCGCAAGAAAACGTTGTCTAGAAGGCGGACGTCTACATTATAATAAATTCATCCTCGAGATCATCTGACGATTTCAGTAGAGAGCCTCAAATACTCTTTAAAAAAACCAAAACTCTCTAGCCTGTAGATTTGAAATGGGATATTTTGAATGGTAGTCTAACATGATGAAAACTCAGAACGTTCTTTTAGCACGTTTATAAAGCCAAGCCGTCTCTTTCAGGCATAACTGCAAATCCCATTGCGACACCCTTCACCCCCCCCCCAAAGTAAAAACAAAGCAAAACAAACCAAAAAACAAACAAACAACGATTTACCTGGGTGTAGTGTCAAGTATTTTGAAACGGAACGGGACGAGGGGTTTTCTAAACTTAACCCTTCCAGCCCCAAGCGCGTATATATTCAGCAGCGCGTGTACCTCCCTCCGTCCCAAGAGCGTATATTCTCAGTTTCGGGGAGGTACCGAATTCGCGCATTTTTCGAAATTAGCGAACTTGATTAAACTTTAATTTTCTTATTACTTGTTCATTTATCTTTAAAAATTGGTATATGTTATTATCAAAGCTACATTACAAAGATACTACATCACTTTTTAGAAATAATGCCTCTTTTTCTGAAACACTACTGTATTGGCTGGGACTGGGGTTAGAGAGTGCACAAAAATGGCAGGGGCTGGAAGGGTTAACTGTATACCCCTTCTCCTCGTCCTTCCACAGGCTGACGGAGGAGCTGCGTATCTGTGTTACCACCGAGGCCAGAGACCGATGTGGCACAGCCTATGAGACGTTTGTCAACGAGATCTGGGCTATCGCAAGCAGAACAACGATGAGAAATATAGGGTGTGCTGCACCCCCTGATAACACGCGTAAGTTTGTCCCAGTGTAGGGATACTCATAAAACTTTCCACCTATTGTCATTGCATTTATTAGCCATCACCATCATCATCCTCGTCATCATCATCATCATAAAATCGTTGAAAAGTTGAACTCAAATAACTGTGTATCATCATCATCACCATCATCATCATCATCATCATCATCATCATCATCATCATCATCATCATCATCA